AGGGGAGGGTTTTGGGGAGTGGTGGAGAGGGGAAGGCTTAGGTGGGGTGGGGGAGAGTGGGGGCGTAGGGGGGCGGGGGAGAATGGAGGGCTTGTGGGTGGAAGAGGCGGGAGGGCTTGGGGGATGGAGAAGGGACGGTCCTGGAGGGAGGGGGGAGTGGGAGGAGGGGGGTGAGTAGGAGGAGAGGGGTGGGTGGGGGGAGGGTGCCTTAGGTGGGTACTTAGTGGGGGGCTGACAGGGGTTGGGGCAGGTAGGGTGTCTGTTGGGTAGAATTTGGGGGTGGTGCCACACTCCCTGTGGCTAGTGCACTATTTGAGGAGGGTTCCCCATTCCCCTCTGGGATTGTAGGGATCGAGGGTGTGGCTCCCCGATTCCTTTCTCTCTCCCTGCGCTCCTTCCTCGCGTCTGCTGCCTGCTTTCTCTCTTCCCTTGTCATATCCCTCCCAACGCCTACCAACCACCCAACGCCTGTGGTAGCATTGGGTGGCCCCTCCTTCTTCGGGGGTTTGGGGCTGGCAGGGGCAGGCCTCTTCTCATGCGCCCTGTCAGGTTGTCTTGGAGTGGGTGCACTTGGTTGTGGTCGAAACGATCACTTCTCTCAGACGGGTTTCCCGACTGTTTCCAGTTCAGAAAGTGGACTGTGTGAAACTGTGGTTCATTCTGGACTTGTCCCTTCTCAATCCCTGGGTTTCCTGTCCCTCGTTTCAGATGACTACTCTGTCCCAGGTCCGGCTTCTGTAGGAGCCAGGCGCTTGGATGGTGTCTTTGGACCTCAATGACGCGTATTTGCAAATCCCAATTTATCTGGGGTTCTGGGACTGGCTCGGTTTTGTTGTGGGGTGCCAGAGTTACCGCTTTCGTTGTCTAACGTTCGGGTTGACCTGGCACCTCGTGTGTTCACATGCCTTACCTGGGTCATGGTGGCCTGTCTGCATCGGTTAGGTGTTCGGGTTCTGGCCTTCCTTGATGACTGGCTGGTTTGGGCTCCATGTCAGTCCATGTGCCAGCTCGCCAGGGATTTATTTATTTCCAAGCTCGCCGGGTTATGGTTCCAGGTGAACTGGAGGAAGTCCCATCTGGTTCCCTCTCAGGTTCGGTCTTGGCTGGGTCTTGTGTGGGACACTCTAACCGCTTCCTTCTCTTCTTCCGGCGGATCTGCTCCGTCTGCGTTCCAGCCTTTGTTCCTGAGGGGCTCTCAGGTCACACGGCGGTTGCTCGAGGGTTTGTGCGGGGAAGCCTGAACTTTGCCGTGATAGTCTACCCACCAGGTCGGGTTTGGCTTCGTCGGCTCTTCTGGTTCCTTCGGGGGCGTCTCTTCCGCCTTTCCTTCGACCACTGAGTTCGGCCTCCTGAGGCTTTGCATCGGTTGCTGTGATGCCAGCTTCCTCTAAGGGTTTTTCGGGGTTCAGTGCCTTGGCTTTTTCCGAGCCCTCACTCGATGGGTTCACAGACACATCATCTCCTGGCAGGGGCTTTGTGACCTGTGCTCACCAAGCTGGTCAAGAATGATGGGGTCCGTCCTTCTGTCGGGCTCACAGCATGGTACGGGAGTTCGCGGGTGTGTGGATGTCACTTCGGGTCGCTTGTGGGTCGACGATCCTGCTCCATTTGGACTGTTTCCCGATGGTTCATTGCCTGAACCGCGAGAATTCGATGCGGTCCTTGGCTCTTTGGGGCTGGTTACTTTGGGTGACTCGTCTGCTGAGTTCTCAGGGTTTGGCTCTCCTGGCAGCTCACGTTTGGGGAGTCCAATGTCCTGGCGGACGACCTGTCCCACTTCCTTCCCCTTTCAACGGAGTGGACAGTCGACACAGAGTCGTTCAGTGGGCTTTGCCTCCGGTGGTGGACCTCTTCGCGTCGGCGTGGTGCCCTTCCTCGACTGCGAGCCATCGGCGTTGATGCTTTTCAGCAGGACTGGGCAAGGTGGGGTTACCTGTACCTCTCCTCCCCGGTTCATCTGTTGCTCCAGGTCCTGGCTCGCTGGGAGTCTTACCAGGGTTGAGTTGTCCTTCTGGCTCCTTGGTGGCCTGCCCAGCCTTGGTTTCAGGTGCTGCTTGCTCAGTGTTCGAACCCGAGGATCTTCCTGCAGCTCTGCCTTTTTCAGCAGATTGTTCCAGCCCGTTATAAAGTTATTTCGTTCTTCTCTTCGAGTCTTCGCTTCTGGATTTTCTGACTCAAGTCTATCACAACTTGTATGATATGCAGGTGGCTTTGTTGTTGGTCTCCCACCTGCGTGCTTCGACTAGATGGCAGTATGAAGCTTCCTGGCGGTCATTTCAGTTTTTCCTCTCACTGCATAGGTGTACTTCGGTCTCTGATAGGGTTGTTTTGTCCATCCTTTCGTGGTTGTTTCCAGGATTGTCATCTTGTGCCAAATACTGTCGCCTCATATTGTGCGGCAGTGACGGAGTCGCTCCAACTTGCGTTCGGCATTGACGTTACGTCTGCTCCGTTCCGCAAGCTGTCTCGTACGTTGTTTCACCACCAGACTGCTCATGGACCATCTGAGCCGTCCTGGTCTTCGGACTGGGTGCTCTCTTCTCTCTCTTCTCCTCAGTTTGTTGTGGCCTCTTCAGTTCAGGACTGTTTTTCTAAGGCTCTTATCCTGTAGGCATTGGCGTCTGGGAGGTCGGGTTGCTCTCTCATGCTCTCCTCCAGCGCAGGGGTTTCTGCTCTTTTGGTCCTGGTAGTAGGTTTGTTCTGTTGCAGCTGTCTCTTTTTCTGGCGAAGAATGAGTCTGCTGCTTTCCGAAGGGGTCCTTGGGTTGTTGATGCTTGGATCATGGCCGGGGCCGGGGCTGCATCATGTGTTGTGTCCGGTTGCGGCTTTCTACCGTTATTTGCGTGACAAGGTTGTGGTGGCTGGGGATGCGCTTAGGGTTGACCTAAGTTTCCCTTTCCTGTTCCCGGTCTCGAGTCTCCCAGGTCATCCGCAGGGAGACCCTTCCGTCAGAGACCCTTCCGTCTAGCCAGCTTGCAGTCTATCCTCGTATCCACGACGTTCGTAAGTTTGCTGCACTAGCTGCCGTATTTGGTAACATGTCTTGGGTTGATATTCGGACATAAGGTTGTTTGTGGTTGGACAGGGTTCTGGCTGCTCGCTACCTGGTCAAAGACCCTGGACATAGTAGGGCCTGTACTGCACGGGTCAGGGCCTGTACCACACGGGTCAGCGGTTGCAGCCAATTATCTCAGCTTTGAATTGAGGAGTGAGGACTGACCGCCGCCCAGGTAAGTCCCTGTTTTTCCTTGTCTTTGGGTAGTTAGCTCCACGGAGCTAACGGGGCACCCCACAGAAAACCAACGTTGAATGTAATTAATCGCTGCATTACATCGGGAATGTAATGAATACTGGAGTGAACGATACGGAGGAAAATGCAGAATAGAACCCGTGAAGAACAGAGGTGCCATATGCACAATCAGAGAACACTATAAACATCAGAGGTCCGTGGTTGTTCAACGTCCTACCACCGAGCATCAGAAATATTGCCGGAACAAAGGGTGGACATCTTCAAGAGAAAACTAGATTGTTTTCTTCAAGGAGTGCCGGACTAACCGGGCTGTGATGGGTATGTGGGCCTGCGGGCCGCTCCAAGCAACAGCCTGGTGGATCAAACTCTCACAAGTCAAGCCTGGCCTCGGGCCAGGCTTGGGGAGTAGAAGAACTCCCAGAATCCCATCAAGCAGGTATCGCAATTTTCTGGGCGAGTCCCAGAGGCTCCCCGGCATCCCTCCCTCCAGTTGGCGGTGTGTTTCGCGAATTTTGACATCCAACCTAAGAACTGCAGATTGGATCGCCGGCGTGAGGGTCTGGGGCTCTCCCTTCCCCTTCCCGGGGAGGGGTTACATAGACAGTGGCGCAGCAACGTGACGTCATGCTCGTTTGCTAATTTTCGTTTTGGGAGTTCTGTCCACTCGTTCAGCTTTTGGTAGCAATATTTTCATCAGAATAAGGGATTGTTTTAGGGCGCCTACCTTTCTGGGTGCCAGACCCGGTTAATGGCAGACATAGATATGCTTCCAACCACACGGGGGTTTCTATAGGCCAGTGCTCCTCATGCCTGTCTGAGGGGGGCCAGGTTCTGGCTCGTGGTCCCCAGTAGGCAAGAACTCCATGCACATTGACTGATGCCAGAAAGCTAATATATTCATATCAGCCTGGATATCTACGGGGAGCCTCCATGACTCACCCAGAAAATGACGTTTCATTACATTCAACCCTGGGTTTTGCTCTAAAACCTGAAACATTGATATTAATAAAGTCAACTGTCATTTTGGTGTTTCTCTACACTGTGGTCAGTGTTCACTACACCCATGTCAACTGTCATCTTAGTGACAGACTGACTACAGGTGTAGTTTCAGTTTCCTGATGCTTTATCCAGTTACTTTACTCAGAGCCTGATGCTTCATTATAGTCCAGTTACTTTACTCAGTGCCTAATGCTTCATTATAGTCCAGTTACTTTACTCAGAGTCTGATGCTTCATTATAGTCCAGTTACTTTACTCAGAGCCTGATGCTTCATTATAGTCCAGTTACTTTACTCAGAGCCTGATGCTTCATTATAGTCCAGTTACTTTACTCAGAGCCTGATGCTTCATTATAGTCCAGGATCCACCATTAATGTTTGTGTTGGTAATGACAGGTGCAGGAGACCATCAGGGAGGCCCTGGAGATGATGACCACAGAGACAGGTGCCACAGCTGACCCCGTACACCTGGGAGACTCAGCCTCCACCATTAATATTAGTGTTGGTAATGACAGGTGCAGGAGACCATCAGGGAGGCCCTGGAGATGATGACCACAGAGACAGGTGCCACAGCTGACCCCGTACACCTGGGAGACTCAGCCTCCACCATTAATGTTTGTGTTGGTAATGACAGGTGCAGGAGACCATCAGGGAGGCCCTGGAGATGATGACCACAGAGACAGGTGCCACAGCTGACCCCGTACACCTGGGAGACTCAGCCTCCACCATTAATGTTTGTGTTGGTAATGACAGGTGCAGGAGACAATCAGGGAGGCCCTGGACATGATGACCACAGAGACAGGTGCCACAGCTGACCCCGTACACCTGGGAGACTCAGCCTCCAGCATCATGGATAAAGTTCAGGAAATCACTGGAGAGATCCCCCAGAAGCAATTAACAGTAAGTTTTTTATTTTCTCTCATAGGTCATATCACAAGATATTGAGTTGCATTTTGAGGAGAGTAAGCCTGTTCTTAGGTTTATGGAGGTTCCCCAAGGTCAACTACTGACTTTCCTTAACATACAATCCACAATAGTTGCCTAACTCTTGGATAAATATTTACTGGTAGGTGAACAGACGCAACAGGTGAAAGGCAACAGACAACAGGAAACATGTAAACCATTTCTGGTCTGCATGGTGATTGAACCCAGGATCCTCTATTGAACCCGGGATCCTGGCCCCCCTCACAGAGGCGCAGAGAGTGGGAGACACTCCACCAACCTACCATGAAAGCATACCTGGTTGATACCTAGTTGATGGGGTAGTGAGAGTTTTTCTACTCCCCAAGCCCGGCCCGAGGCCAGGCTTGACTTGTGAAGATTTGGTCCACTAGGCTGTTGCTTGGAGCGGCCCGCAGGCCCACATATCCCCCACAGCCCGGTTGGTCCGGCACTCCTTGGAGGAAACAATCTATTTTCCTCTCAAAGATGTCCCATGGTTGTTCCAGCAATATTTCTTATGCTCGCTGGGAGGACGTTGAATCCAGGAAGAGAGCGAACCAAATCAGACCACTGCTGGGTACGAAGAGACTGAAGGCTTAAAACTGCCAACAAACTCCCAAACAATGCCAGCACCAACCCCCTGCCCGAACTGGGGGGTGGGGGCTGGAGCTACAGGTCCAGCACAAACCCCCTGCCAGTAGAGGGGTGCTGGAGCTACAGGCCCAGCACCAACCCCCTGTCAGTAGAGAGGGGGGCTGGAGCTACAGGTCCAGCACAAACCCCCCTGCCACTAGAGGGGGGGCTGGAGCTACAGGTCCAGCACAAACCCCCTGCCAGGAGAGGGGGTGGGTGGAGCTACAGGTCCAGCACAAACCCTCTGCCAGGAGAGGGGGTGGGTGGAGCTACAGGTCCAGCACAAACCCCCTGCTAGTAGAGGGGGGGGGTTAGAGCTACAGGTCCAGCACCAACCCCCTGTTAGTAGAAGGGGGGCAGGAGCTACAGGTCCAGCAGCAACCCCCCCTGCCAGTAGAGGGGGGCAGGAGCTACAGGTCCAGCAGCAACCCCCCCTGCCAGTAGAGGGGGGCTGGTGCTATTTCGAAGAAATAGAACAAACGTTTAAGCGACCATATGAGTCTGAGGAAATGGAATTGGAACAGAAAGCTATACGAGAGATAATGAAAAATCCGAAATATTTTTTCACATACGCAAAATCATAATAAAAAACCTCGACCTGTATTTAACCGTTAATTACAAATGAAGGTACGTACACAGAGGACAACAAAGAGATTACTGAAATTCTAAGAAGCCAGTATGAGGCTATGTTTAGCACACCAATAAACAACATGAAAGTTGATGACCCTGACAGCTTCTTTATGAATGACATTCAAGCTGCAGATAATATAACGGATATTACCACAAACTCGGAAGACTTTGAAAGAGAAATTGATAATATGCCAAATGCACTCAGTTCCTGAGCCCGACTCATGGAATTCAATATTCATTAAGAAATGTAAAGTACCAGTAGCGAGAGCACTCAGCGTAATATGGAGAAAGAGCCTGGATACAGGGGAGATACCAGCAGCACTTAAATCTGCTGGTATAGCTCCTTTGCACAATGGGGGGAGTAAAGCCTTGGCAAAAAATTATAGGCCACCTGCACTAACATCACACATAACAAAAGTGTTTGAAAGAGTGATTAGGAATCAAATTTCTAGTTTTATGGAAAACAATGAATTGCACAATCCAGGACAACATGGAATTAGAGCGGGAAGATCCTGTCTGTCACAGCTACTCAACCACTATGACAAAATCACAGAAGCCCTAGAAGAAAAGCAAAATGCAGATGTTGTATACACAGACTTTGCAAAGGCGTTCGACAAATGTGACCATGGGGTGATAGCTCACAAAATGAGGTCAATAGGAATAACTGGAAAAGTAGGACGCTGGATACTCAACTTCCTGTCGAACAGAACACAAAGAGTAACAGTCAATCAGATAAAATCGAGTCCAAGCGATGTTAAAAGCTCCGTACCTCAAGGTACAGTCCTTGCACCGCTACTGTTCCTTGTTCTCATATCTGATATAAAAAAAAAATTACACGTCACAGCTTCGTGTCGTCCTTTGCAGATGACACAAAAATCAGCATGAAAATTACCTCTGCTGAAGACATTGAAAAACTACAAGCAGATGTCAACAAAGTTTTCGATTGGGCAGCAGAAAATAACATGATGTTTAACAGTGATAAATTTCAGGTACTCAGGTACGGCAAAAATGAGGATCTGAAACATAATACAGGGTACAAAACACAATCGAATCTTCCCATAGTAGAAAAACAGCATGTCAAGGATTTGGGAATAATGATGTCCGACGATCCAATGTTTAGGGAGCATAACCAAGCAAATATCGCGTCAGCCAGAAAAATGATCGGATGGATTACGAGAACTTTCAAATCTAGGGATCCCATCACAATGGTTGTACTCTTCAAGTCACTTCTGTTGTCCCGTCTCGAGTACTGCTCAGTACTCACTTCCCCCTTCAGAGCAGGAGAAATTGCTGAAATAGAGGGAATACAGAGAACATATATGGCACGCATAGACGAGATAAAACACCTAAATTATTGGGATCGACTCAAAGCTCACCAAATGTACTCTCTAGAAAGGAGACGAGAGAGATACCAAATAATATACACATGGAAAATACTGGCGGGACAGGTCCCAAATCTACAGTAAAATTACAACGTAATGGAGTGAACGATATGCAAGAAAATGCAAGATTGAACCAGTGAAGAGCAGAGGTGCCATAGGCACAATCAGAGAGCACTGTATAAGCATCAGAGGTCCGCGGTTGTTCAACGTCCTCCCAGCGACTATAAGAAATATTGCCGGAACAACCGTGGACATCTTCAAGAGAAAACTGGACTGTTTTCTAAGAGAAGTTCCAGATCAGCCGGGCTGTGGTAGGTATGTGGCCCTGCAGGCCGCTCCAAGCAACAGCCTGGTGGGCCAAACTCTCACAAGTCGAGCCTGGCATCGCGCCGAGCTTGGGGAGTAGAAGAACTCCCAGAACCCCATCAAGCTGGAGCTAGGGGTCCAGCAACAACCCTTTGCCAGTGGAGAGTGGCTGGAGCTACAGGTCTAGCACCAACCTCCTGCCAGTAGAGAGGGGCTGGAACTACATGGCAAGCACCAATTTCCTGCCAGGAGAAGGTGGCTGGAGCTACAGGATCAGCACCAACCTCCTGCCAGTACAGGGGGGCTTTAGCTAGTAGAGGTCCAGCACTAACCCCCTCCTAGTAGAGGGGGGCTAGAGCTACTAGTCCAGCACCAACCCCTTGCCAGTAGAAGGGGGCTGGAGCTACAGGTCCAGCACCAACCCCCTGCCAGTAGAGGGGTGCTGGAGCTACAGGTCCAGCACCAACTCCCTCCGAAGAGAAGGGGGCTGGAGCTACAGGTCTAGCACCAAACCCCCTGCCAGTAGAGGGGGGCTGGAGCAACTGGTCCAGCACCAACCCCCTGCCAGTAGAGGAAGGCAGGAACTACAAGTCCAGCACCAACCCCCTGCCAGTAGAAGGGGGCTGGAGCTACAGGTCCAGCACCAACCCCCTACCAGTAGAGGAAGGCAGGAACTACAAGTCCAGCACCAACTCCCTGCCAGGAGAAGGGGGCTGGAGCTACAGGTCCAGCACCAACCCCACCCCCGGGCCAGTAGAGGGGAGGCTGGTGCTACAGGTCCAGCACCAACCCCCTGCCGGTAGAGGGGGGCTGGAGCTACAGGTCCAGCACCAACCCCCTGCCAGGAGAAGGGGGCAGGAGCTACTTGTTCAGCACCAACCCCGTGCCAGTAGAGTGGGGCTGTAGCTACAGGTCCAGCACCAACCCCTTGCCAGTAGAGAGGGGCTGGAGCTACAGGTCCAGCACCAACCCCCTGCCAGTAGAGGTGAGCTGGAGCTACAGGTCCAGCACCAACCCCGTGCCAGTAGAGTGGGGCTGTAGCTACAGGTCCAGCACCAACCCCTTGCCAGTAGAGAGGGGCTGTAGCTACAGGTCCAGCACCAACCCCTTGCCAGTAGAGAGGGGCTGGAGCTACAGGTCCAGCACCAACCCCGTGCCAGTAGAGTGGGGCTGTAGCTACAGGTCCAGCACCAGCCCCCTGCCAGTAGAGAGGGGCTGGAGCTACAGGTCCAGCACCAACCCCCTGCCAGGAGAAGGTGGCTGGAGCTACAGGTCCAGCACCAACCTCCTGCCAGTACAGGGGGGCTGCAGCTAGTAGAGGTCCAGCACTAACCCCCTCCTAGTAGAGGGGGGCTAGAGCTAATAGTCCACCACCAACCCCCTGCCAGTAGAGGGGAGAGGGGCTGGAGCTACAGGTCCAACACCAACCCCTTGTCAGTAGAGGGGTGCTGGAGCTACAGGTCCAGCACCAACCCCCTTCCAGTAGAGGAAGGCAGGAACTACAAGTCCAGCACCAACTCCCAGCCAGGAGAAGGGGGCTGGAGCTACAGGTCCAGCACCAACTCCCCCCCCCCCCCGGCCAGTAGAGGGGAGTCTGGTGCTACAGGTCCAGCACCAACCCCCTGCCAGTAGAGGGGGGCTGGAGCTACAGGTCCAGCACCAACCCCTTGCCAGTAGAGGGAGCTGGAGCTACAGGTCCAGCACTAACCCCCTGCCAGTAGAGGGGGGCTGGAGCACCAACCCCCTGCCAGTAGAGGGGGGCTGGAGCTACAGGTCCAGCACCAACCCCCTGCCAGTAGAGGGGGGCTGGAGCTACAGGTCCAGCACCAACCCCCTGCCAGTAGAGGGGGGCTGGAGCTACAGGTCCAGCACCAACCCCCTGCCAGTAGAGGGGGGCTGGAGCTACAGGTCCAGCACCAACCCCCTGCCAGTAGAGGGGGGGCAGGAGCTACTTGTCCAGCACCAACCCTTTGCCAATAAAGGAAGGCTGGAACTACAGGTCTAGCACCAACCTCCTGCCAGTAGAGGGGGGGCAGGAGCTACTTGTCCAGCACCAACCCCGTGCCA